GGAGGCTTAAAAGAGAGGGGGGTATTAACTTTCTTCCCCTGAAAATGGGTGGCTTAATAGAGGATTCATGGTATGTCAGCATTATTTTTTTCACAATGCCTTGCAGAGTTATGCTATAATATTGACCTAACTAGCACTTGTCAATGTAGCCTGTGAACAGGCTCTCTGTTTGGGGAAAAAGATAGCAAGGAAAGGGAAGGGAAAGGGGGGGAGAGAGAGCCTGTAGACAAACATTTGAGGCCGCTATTCTGCCCTCTTGTAATTATCTTGCCGAACATCTGTCAGTAAGATCATTATCTGTCAATCAATTTCGCACTTGAGTAAACTCCTGGGAAAATTAACGGGAAATGAGCTGTGTTTTGCTCTGGCTCCGTCTCAAAACAAAGTGAAATGGACCGCGAGCCTAATTGTCGATTTTGCAAAAAATCATTCTCTCCGGTAAGAGACTTAATACAGTGCCGGTCTTTGGCATTTCAAGAAATAAGACCTTGCTGGTTGAGAGTGGCCAAGTGGCCAATACAGCGTTGTACTGGCGCAAGCATTTGAATCCAGAAGATTTCCTCTTGAGCAAGGAGAAAGCTTTTCCGATTTAAGCTGCTAAACTTGTGCGCAACGGGCTGTTCGTCTTGCTGGTTCAGTTTCTAATTATTTAACAAGCCCCTGCAATGAGTGAACTTGGAATGCAAAAGGTACAGACACTATCATGACTTCCCCAGAAGGTGAACCTCCAAAGACAAGTTCAAAGAGATCAGCAGCGCTTCGATCACCAACAGGAATTACACCTTTAGTATTTATCCCGTATTTATAGCAGTAAGAGGGGGTGGTAGGCCTACACGATGTTTACCTCACGCCAAAATGCTGCTTCTTCCCAAAGTTTTTTCCTCTTCTGGGTAGATTATGATCTGGAAGGTTCTACATTTTCACTGAGCAAATGTGATTTTAGCTGCTTGTTTCACACTGAGAGTACATGGCATACATATCGATTTACTGTGGTTTTTGTCTCTGGTCGGCAGGATTTGCCCTCTGATGCAAGATCATTTTCAGTGACCTCTTTTGAAGCGTAAAGCTTTTTGTTGCGGCTGAATAAGGGTCTTACTTTTCTCCCCAAAGTGCCTTCTGGATCTGAATAACTAAGCAATTTTCTTCAGTTCGTGAATGTAATGTTTTTCTGAAATGCCCAGCTAGTTAGTTTTCTTTGCAGAATGTTTAAAAATTATCACGAATAGTAATTCACAGATCCAAAGTTATAAGATCAACTATGGAGAATTACATTGTGACTCGGTAAACTCCAGCCTAGTATTTTTCTAAAGATAGTGTGAGTCTCTTGACTGGAGCGCGTAGTTCCTCCCTTGGTAATAGCTTTTAAAGAAGCTCAACAGTCTTTGGAGTGTTTTGTTATTTCCACTTTGTGATTAAAACACGTGCTACAAGCTGACCAAAAAGCCAGTGTCAATCAGACCTGTCAACAGTCAGTGTACTCGCCAATAAGAACTTACATCAGGATCTGATGCACAGTGGGTGCCGTGGAACGGTGGTCCCAAATGTTTGTCTACAGGACCAAAGGCCTGTTTACAGGCTATTGTCAATGTGGGACAGATCCTTAAATATAGGACTGGGGAGATAAGTAACACTTTATGGTAATTTGCCAAGCTGACTGCAAACCAGTATTCACCTATTTACACTATGTGTCCTGTTGTTAGGATTTTTATTATTCTTTCTCATTTATTGCGAAGCCAAAGTATAAAAAGATGAAACATACCTGCATCATAATACTCATGACTGCCCAAAAGTAATAAGGATTCTTTGAAAACTGCTTATATAGATTCATTGCAGCCTGGAAAAAAAATCCAAAAGAAGAAAGCCACCCTACCTTAGGGCCTGTTTACATGAAGGTGAGGGACCCCAGGTAGGTGAGATAACCCACCTGTCCATGCAATCTCTCATTTTAATTTGATCACGTTTACATGTTAGGCAAGGGTGACCATATGAGACATTAGGGAGCTTGAGCAACAACAAAAGTGACGGCTACAAAAACATCACTCACAAAGTGAAGTCGCACTGCTTCAAACTTCATCGCACTTAATCCATCTAGTTCAATTCATCAAATGCTGGCAATTTTTTCTGGAGTTGAATTCTAACAGAGTGTAACGAAGTTCAAGAAAAGAAAAACAAAGTCGCCGTTTTGTGTTCTCGTCCTCCACAAAACATGAAATTAAGCATTTTCACGTCGTAGTGATGCAGTGACGGCAAAGAAAAGTATAAAAAAGCACGATGAACATGCAGAGTTGTCGTTTTGCCAATCTAAACCTATTGCTGTTTTGCCATTTTCAAGGACATAGCCGTCGCTGTTGCCGTCGTTTAAGCTCCCTATTATATGGAGAGGCGGGTTACCCCCACTTAAGGGGGTTACCTCACCTACCTGGGGTCCCCCAACTCCATGTTAACAGGCCCTTTGTTGTAGATTTATTAATGTTATGGTTCACACTTAACCTGGTAATGGTGTATGGTACTGTGCAATGGTGGGGTGAAAGGAAAAGAAAAATAAACTAGGAAGAAATGAAAATTAACTAAGAACAAAATTATCTGCAACATCTATATTACTTTTACCAAGATGATGTACAGGGTCTGTACCTGCTGCTGCTTCTTGTAATCTCCTATTCTGACATATGCCATGAAAAGATGGGAATATAGCTCTTCACTCTGTGGATTCTGTTTTAGAGCCATCTCATAAACATGAGGAATCATCTCAGCTACAAAACAGTAAAAAAGGACNAGCCGTCGCTGTTGCCGTCGTTTAAGCTCCCTATTATATGGAGAGGCGGGTTACCCCCACTTAAGGGGGTTACCTCACCTACCTGGGGTCCCCCAACTCCATGTTAACAGGCCCTTTGTTGTAGATTTATTAATGTTATGGTTCACACTTAACCTGGTAATGGTGTATGGTACTGTGCAATGGTGGGGTGAAAGGAAAAGAAAAATAAACTAGGAAGAAATGAAAATTAACTAAGAACAAAATTATCTGCAACATCTATATTACTTTTACCAAGATGATGTACAGGGTCTGTACCTGCTGCTGCTTCTTGTAATCTCCTATTCTGACATATGCCATGAAAAGATGGGAATATAGCTCTTCACTCTGTGGATTCTGTTTTAGAGCCATCTCATAAACATGAGGAATCATCTCAGCTACAAAACAGTAAAAAAGGACTTTAGTAAATTATATGACTTCCCAGTAACTTTCAATACACATACCTCAACCCTAGGTTCTTTGTATGTTCAAAATGACAAGGTGATTTAAACTTTAAACAAGGAGTTTTCAAAGCATTTCAATAATATTAGGCTTGCACAAATTCTGCAGGTACAACTTAAATACTTTATAGAGTAAAAATGCTGAAAGATCAAGCAGAATTTTGAGCATAAAAAGTGATAAATGCAGGAGCCCTGAAAGCAGACAGAAAGTGTTGTATCAAAAACAGAATTTATCCAAGTCTATTATTCTTCTAGCTGATGAGAGCCCTGTTTTCTGATTTGAAATCTCAAAAGATCAGTATTCATTGGCTCCTGAAAGTTATGGTACTTCAGTTGAGACTGGCACACCCCAAGACACTCTTACAACTAGTCTGTAATATTTCACGGGCAAGCCACCAAGCCAATTTAAATAATTATTTCTCTTTAGAATTTGCCCCCTCTTCTGTAATTATACCAAAGATTATAAAGCAAAGCCAGAACATAACAAAATTTTTCTGCCTTTATTTTTTGCAATCTCTTACGTTTTTGCATCTCCCTGAAGCAGATTGTCATTGCTTGTAACGTGGGGTCATCAGCTGGTTTAGCTTCCATTACCTCTGCCATCAATGCCTCGCTCTCTGCATTCTTGCCTGATCGTAGTAAGGCTAGTCCTTTTAAAGCCTGGAAATCAGATTATTGGATGGCATCAGGGTTGTGATGCTGTCCTAAATATCAAACATGGGGTACTAGAACTAAGACAGCCTTTACCATAGTGCAAGTTTTACATTGATAGAGCATTATTCCATCTGGCATATCAAGTCATTTCACTCATGAAGTATCCAGTGTTTTCAAGATCAGCTTTTGTACTCAATGCCAGTAAAAGTACAAGCACGCTTGTATAAATTCAGGGCCCAGCATCTTATAAACTCACTTGCAAGACAGCTCGGCTAGCAAACAGTCATAAGTAGTAGCATTTACTAGTTTTCCCACCCTACCCTCCATGGGTAGCTTTTGGGTGTATATTCATTTCCTTTTTGTCTGACAGTCTTTCTGTTTTTAAAAATTACATATACCTTTGTGTGTTCCATTTGAGTGTAACTAGTTTTATTACCTGTTTTATTTTAATACTGTACCTATATTTGAGTGATTAGCTATTTACATGTTGTAATAAAGGCTCTCATAGTCCCAATCATGTCTCTGTCATGGGTGGTATTTAGGTAAAGTTTCCGCACAGCCTCATGTCCATACATGCAGCTATCTCATACTAGTTCACAGACAGTTTATATGAATAAAGTCAAATATGTACGTATAATAAATGTATGGGGCTGTGCGAAAATCTTACCAACAGAAGAAATAGATTTAAAGAATCATAGGTACCTTAGCACAATGCAAGTCTTTCTGTTTCTTCAGGATTTTGTCAGCAAGTTGGATGGCCTGTTTATTGTTCATGCTATCCAAAGCATCTAAGGAAACAATACACATAGGTCAAGTAATTATTCTTCTAAACGATATTATTTTTTCAAGTATAAATAGGATAAAGCAGTACCATAAACAGGCCGAAGTCGACGCTCGTTCACGTCGACATGGCGGGAAGCCATGTTGAATTTTCGGCTCACATGCTTTCCTAAAGTGAGTCCGCGACAAAGTTATTCAGCGGCTGATGACATTTTGAATGTTCTGTTTGTGTAATGTACATCCAGATTTGCCAAAATAAACCAGTCCCAAAAATTCACACGAAGAATAAAATCGTCTTCATTCCTCACAATTTTACAATGAGTTGTGAAGAGGATCAAGAGGAGGAGAGGGAAGTTTTACGTGCTATTTATGAATCGGACAAAAATTTCATCGAAATTAACCCTACGACGTTTCAATACAAGTTTGGTGAAGAAGGACACTACAAGTCGTTCCTATTGGAAATTTCTTGGCCTGCAGATTACCCCACGTGTCTTCCGAACATCGGATTAGATGCGTTTTATAATCGGCACATCAGCAGTACAGTGAAGGAGAGTGTAACCGACCGGATCAAAGAACAATGCGAAATGTGTCTAGGTTCTGCTATGACTTTTTCGATATTTGATTGGACAAAAGAGCACGAGGAGGAGCTGATGACAAAGCAACATGAGCCGGTATGTGGGGCTCTGCAGGGGAGAGGCTCAACCATAAAAAGTCATAAAACGGTTTTGCACGTCGTCTGCTTGTTATATGGGGGTGGGGGAGGGTGAAACACTGAGTAGGTATTTTGGATGGAAAATGGACTTAATGAACTTGGGAGCAACTAACAGTCATGTGTTATGGGTAATAGGTCGTGGGTCATGGGTACAAAGTCATGGGTCAAGGGTACCAGGTCGTGGGTAGTGTAGATCCACGAAAACGTAAAGGGTAAAATGGAGAAGAAGTCCCTCGGGGTATAGCCTGAGAAAACAGCCGACATTTCATGACGTCACCACTGGTTTCCCGCGAAATGACGTCTGATAAATGTGCGCAGAAATTTCCATACTGATGATGCGTCACTACCCAGATCTGGGTAGTACATCTGATTGGTCTTGCAGCATGGGAAATTTGATTCAACCAATCAGAAGAACTACCCATATCTGGTTAGTGGCGTGTTATTAGTCACAGCCAATCAATTCCGAATTACACTCCAAAGGGAAAAGTAAATACTGTACCCTCTAGAACACTTGACTGTTGATAAAGTGGGTTGTGGAAAACTAAAAGCAGAGAAATCTTGTCTCACACAGAAAGCCATGTTTTTGCAAGCAAAGAGTATGAATGCAAGTGAAGGTAAAAAATTCTTGTGAATTGAAGCGATACATTTCTCAGAATATTTGAAGCAATTCCTGGAACTCTACAGTAAATAAATTTGGTGTTTTGGCTAAATTTCTCTTCAGCCAGGCTTTGTTGTATTTATTTAGGCTTAATATTGTCAAATTGCTTTAGCTAAAGGGTTTTTCTGAAACATGTGACAAGGTTTGTTCTCCCCTTGGTAGTAAAACGTTTTATACACGATAGAAGCATAGATGTAAAAATGATAATTTTTTTTGATACATTCGTGAAGTGTAATGAACCAGTTTAATATTGAACTTGATTGGAAATTCACTCATTCACTCACTCCATGGCATGCGTGCTCTAAACCTTATTGTGGACAAGTTTCAGTAATAATATGCTGATTTAATCTTAAGGACTTTTATAAAATAAATTTGATATACTTTGATATACTTTTTTTCACCTACCTGTCATCAGCCTTCTCACTTCAATTCACTAGTCAATCGCCCCCACCCCCTATCCCAGGTTTTACAAATTCCCCAGTGAATCAACCAATATGGTGTATGGATTTTGAAACTGAAATCTGTGACGTACAGGAATTCCTGTCTCCAAAATCTGTCTTTGGATTTTAAACTTACTTGCATTCTTAAACTTAAAGCTGTAATAGTAGCCAGCACTTTTCCTTACAATATCACTACTTAACTAATCACAAAAGTAATGAAAAACACCAAAAATAAGGTGGAAAGGTTGGCTTGTGGCAATCATGCTCTGACAAAGTGTATAAGAGCAGGCTTATTGCTATGTGTTGCATGGGTGGTCAAAGCCACCTCAGTCTGTTCAGAAAATTCAGGCTGAGATTTCAATGTAATGGTTGAAATCCTACACTCATTTGTAATATAGAGTAGCCTGCGAACAGCAGACGCATTTCTGGTCATCGCTTCTCTGCCTCTCTGCCTACGGAGGGAGAGAAGCGACGAGCGGAAATGCGTCTGCTGTTCACAGGCTAAATATAGAGATGAGTAGGGTGCAACAAAAGTGCAGTGCAATAGCCTGGGGCTAGTGGAGCAACCATTCAAGCTACATTGTAGCATGTTTTAATATTAGAAGTTTTCCAATGGGCAAGCAACATATTTTGCCAAGATGATTTACATGGTAATGAAAAAGGGAGTTGGTAAGCCTGCACAACTACTCTGGGCTAGTGAACATTGGTAAGAGTTTGCCCTTGGGCAAGTGAGTTTTTAAATTTCATCTCACCTTGATGAGCTTAATCAACATCCTCTTCTCACATAGGTCACAGTGAAAATAATAATGCTTTTGAATACTCTCTTTTACACAGGATCAGGCAGTCAAAGAAGAGCAAACCCCTGAGCAGGAAAGAGAGATGCAGCCAGCCAAGAAGAAAGAGAAAAAAGAAATTTTAACAAAAAGCCAAAAGCGAAGAATTGCTGATAGAACAAACTACAAAGGGGAAAGAGAAAGGGGGTGGAACTGGGTAGATGTTGTAAAACATTTAAGTAAAACAGGTAAAACAGATTAGAAATTTATCTACCCTATATAACTATCCAGTTTAGCAAACTATCTCATTATGGAAACCAGACATAAGAACAAAACTTCCTTAACATGGACACCTAGAATATTTATCCCTGCCACCTTCAGTCATTTTCTGTGCCTCTAAGCTCAGTTATAAGTCGGGTGGCTCTCTGTCACTAGTGACAGTAAAATAGCAACAGAATCGCAGAGTGTCGTGATCTGGTGAAAACCAAATTCCAATTCTTAATTAAAAGTAGAAAGGACTTGTGAATTGAGTGCAGGAACAAGCATTGTGGTTGGCTTATTGTATCACTTCTGCTTTTGACTCCGGCAATCTGTTTTCACTAGATTAATACAGAAAAACCATTTTTTAATGTACAATTTTTAAGGCACTATTACTGTGTTTAGCATTCATTGCTCACAATGGTATTGGCATTCATTGACCGTTCTCAGGATCTTAGCACTGTCCCTGGAAACCTTTTCATGACTGCGATTTGTAGAAGATGTTGTTTTGTGCAACACCCTCTTAAATAAACATGCCAACATGCCTTGCAACATTTTTAATGCAATAATCACTGCAGAAAGTAAAACCTGGGTCTACCTTTTGTAACAATTCTGCAACCAGGGGCGTAGCCAGCTTTTCAACTAGTTATAGGCCTGGCTGACCTTCACTTCCACATATCCTGGAAATTGCACGCATGACTGGTACGCACTAGCTCTCTAGACTTGCCCACTAGTCAAGCTCAAAATTTTTCTCGAGCGCAAATCGGAAACGAGAAGCAAATGACTTTGAGAAAGTCTATGACCTCACCAACACTTTGACCTCTTAATTAATCACCTCAACAGCACATAATTTATTACAAGCGGTAGAGTGATCAAACCAAAAATTTGTAGGCCCGGGCCTACAGGTCTATGGGCTGGCAACGCCCTTGACTGCAACGTATAAAACCAGTAAACTGGCATTGCAAGTGAAGTTTATTCCTTTGGATGTCAGCCAGGCTATGTCTCGCAACGTTGCAATTAATCTGTCTTTGGATTTTAAACTTACTTGCATTCTTAAACTTAAAGCTGTAATAGTAGCCAGCACTTTTCCTTACAATATCACTACTTAACTAATCACAAAAGTAATGAAAAGCACCAAAAATAAGGTGTCTTGAGAGGGACCTTGGAATGGTTGGCTTGCGGTAATCATACTCTGACAAAGTGTATAAGAGCAGGCTTATTGCTATGTGTAGCATGGGGGGTCAAAGCCACCTCAGTCTGTTCAGAAAATTCAGGCTGAGATTTCAATGTAATGGTTGAAATCCTACACTCATTTGTAACATAGAGTAACCTGTGAACAGCAGATGCATTTCTGGTCGTCGCTTCTCTGCCTCTCTGCCTACGGAGGGAGAGAAGCGACGAGCGGAAATGCGTCTGCTGTTCACAGGCTAAATATAGAGATGAGCAGGGTGCAACAAAAGTGCAGTCCAATAGCCTGGGGCTAGTGGAGCAACCATTCAAGCTACATTGTAGCATGTTTTAATATTAGAAGTTTTCCAATGGGCAAGCGACATATTTTGTCAAGATGATTTACATGGTAATGAAAAAGGGAGTTGGTAAGCCTGCACAACTGCTCTGGGCTAGTGAACATTGGTAAGAGTTTGCCCCTGGGCAAGTGAGTTTTTAAATTTCATCTCACCTTGATGAGCTTAATCAACATCCTCTTCTCACATAGGTCACAGTGAAAGTAATAATGCTTTTGAATACTCTCTTTTACACAGGATCAGGCAGTCAAAGAAGAGCAAACCCCTGAGCAGGAAAGAGAGATGCAACCAGCCAAGAAGAAAGAGAAAAAAGAAATTTTAACAAAAAGCCAAAAGCGAAGAATTGCTGATAGAACAAACTACAAAGGGGAAAGAGAAAGGGGTTGGAACTGGGTAGATGTTGTAAAACATTTAAGTAAAACAGGTAAAACAGATTAGAAATTTATTTACCCTATATAACTATCCAGTTTAGCAAACTATCTCATTATGGAAACCAGACATAAGAACAAAACTTCCTTAAAATGGACACCTAGAATATTTATCCCTGCCATCTTCAGTCATTTTCTATGCCTCTAAGCTCAGTTATAAGTCGGGTGGCTCTCTGTCACTAGTGACAGTAAAATAGCAACAGAATCGCAGAGTGTCATGATCTGGTGAAAACCAAATTCCAATTCTTAATTAAAAGTAGAAAGGACTAGTGAATTGAGTGCAGGAACAAGCATTGTGGTCGGCTTATTGTACCACTTCTGCTTTTGACTCCGGCAATCTGTTTTCACTAGATTAATACAGAAAAACCATTTTTTAATGTGCAATTTTTAAGGCACTATTACTGTGTTTAGCATTCATTGCTCACAATGGTATTGACATTCATTGACCGTTCTCAGTATCTTAGCACTGTCCCTGGAAACCTTTTTATGACTGCGATTTGTAGAAGATGTTGTTTTGTGCAACACCCTCTTAAATAAACATGCCAACATGCCTTGCAACATTTTTAATGCAATGATCACTGCAGAAAGTAAAACCTAGGTCTACCTTTTGTAACAATTACTGCAACCAGGGGCTTAGCCAGCTTTTCGACTAGTTATAGGCCTGGCTGACCTTCACTTCCACATATCCTGGAAATTGCACGCATGACTGGTACGCACGAGCTCTCTAGACTTGCCCACTAGTCAAGCTCAAAATTTTTCTCGAGCGCAAATCGGAAACGAGAAGCGAATGACTTTGAGAAAGTCTATGACCTCACCAACACTTTGACCTCTTAATTAATCACCTCAACAGCACATAATTTATTACAAGCGGTAGAGTGATCAAACCAAAAATTCGTAGGCCCGGGCCTACAGGTCTATGGGCTGGCAACGCCCTTGACTGCAACGTATAAAACCAGTAAACTGGCATTGCAAGTGAAGTTTATTCCTTTGGATGTCAGCCAGGCTATGTCTCGCAACGTTGCAATAAAATTGCGACAGAAGTTACAGAGTTTTCTTTAGTTTCCATAAATTGTACCTGAAAGTATACCTGCAATGAATCAACCAATAAAGTATATTTAAAATAGTAAATTAACTTGACGTGTGTGAAGAGTTTGTATCTCATTATACCGTTATTGGCGGGCTAAGGGATTTTTCTAATCAAGCAATCAGCGACAGTACATTTAGAAATCTATT